CCAGGCATGTGTTAATATTTCCCTTCTACACACACCCGCAGACACACAGACAAAATGTGTCCGAGGTTCTTCTCACCGCAATGGGGTGTTGCAAAATTGATCTACATCTGAGCAAGCAAACCAGGGGGGAAAAGCCAGATGCCCTGAGACAATGATGGCCTTTCGGAACAAGGTTAAGATGGAGCTTGTTAGTTGCATTATGAGCTGATGGCCCCGTAATAATTTTCATACAGAGCTCCAGTCCCGTTCTGAACGGTTTCTCCCATGGTTGTGTTGTGTTCCCTTGTCTGTGCAGAGTGTGGGACTGAGGCAGCTCAGAGATCCAGGAGGTCAAGAAAGGTCCCCAGTGGCCAAGGAGGGGGGTTTGCGAGAAGGATCCTCTGGGGTCCTCATGGAGGGAAGTGCACCCTCCTTGACCTAACACCATGTGCACCACCACATGGACTTACTTGTCTTGGATGTGATACAATCAGATTGTCCACTCCAGGCTTTGTAGTCGAGCTTGGTGCCATCGCTCCACTCCTTGGCGCATTCCTGGAAAGACAAGGAGACCCCAGTGAGCCGACTGAGGAGGGGGCTCTGGCTGTGCAGGGCCCAGGGGCAGAGAGAGAAAAGTTGGCAGAGCTTCAAGGGGCAGAGCTTCCCCCCCCCCTCTCTCTCTCTCTCTTTCTCTCTCTCTCTCTCTCTCTCTCTCTCTCTCTCTCTCTCTCTCTCTCTTTCCTTCTCTCTCTCTCTCTCTCCATCCACCCCAGCTGACCCGGAGCAGCTAAGCAGGGTTCCGCTTGGGGACTGCCTGGAGAGGAGACAGTCAGGAGATCCAGAGGGAAAAGAGGAGAAAACGGCCTGGAGGGGTCCCAGGAGTCACCAGCTCAGCTTGGGGGCCACTTTGCCCCATGCCCCACGTGGTGACCGCTCCGAACGACCCTCCTTGGTCTCCGGAAGAGAAAGAGTGTCAAAGCCCAATGAAATTAATTAATATTTCTATTCTGTTCTGTTCTGTTCATCTCCCAGGTGTAGAGGCCATCCAAGGCCGAGATGGGGACCGGGGCAGGATCCGGCCCTTCAAGACCGCAGTGGGTCCTTCAGGAGGAAGGAAGGATTTGGGGAGGGGAGAGAGAGAGAGAGAGAGAGAGAGAGAGAGAGAGAGAGAGAGAGAGAGAGAGAGAGAGAGAGAGAGGATGGCAGTTAAAGGTTTTCTGCTTTGGTTTTCCCTGCCGTTCTCCAAGGCAGGAACATTGAATAGGGAGACCTCTGCCTCCCACCAGAGGATCCCTCTAAACAAACAAACAAACAAACAAACAAACAAATGAAAACCTCCTCAGAAAGTGTAAAGTTGAATCGAGGAAGATTAGCATTAGAGGACCTACATTCCAGACATTGCTCAGTCCCATCCAGACAAAATCGTGTTTCAAAATTGGGGAGGTCTTCGAGACCACAAAATCTACTTCTTCACTGCTGTGAAAGGAGACCAGATGGCTGCCTCTGTGCTGTTGTGTGCAGAATTTCTGTAAGAGAACAACAAGAGAGAGAGAGAGACTTGTTCAGCTGAGAAGCAGATGGTTTTGTGTGTGTGTGTGTGTGTGTGTGTGTGTGTGTGTGTGTGTTCCTGCCTCTGAGAACAGAGCAGGGATCGGACTGCCTGATGCTGGCCACCCTCAGGATCTCCTTGACCCCCACAGTTGCCCTCCCTGAACAGACCCCCCTCCTCCTCCTCCTCCTCCTCCTCCCCCTCCCCCTCCGAGTTTCCGAGAGGAAGGAGCAGAAAAAAGAGTTTTGGAGGAGGCCAAAGGCAGCTCAGCCTTCAAGATGTGGGGAGACCCCCAAGCCCTCTACTGCCCGGCTCTCCAGAGCCCCCGAGAACTCCCGGCACACTCAGGCGACACAGAGGGGAAGGGGCCTTGGAGGTCCTCTAGTCCACCCCCCCTCCGTCATTCCGGACAAAGGGCTGTCCAGACCTGGGCGATAGGAGGAAGGGGGGGCTGCCTAACTGAACTAGACACCTCCCTGACCCCCCCCCCAATGCCCCTCACTTCTCCATCCTGACATGGTCTCTGATCCCTCCTCTGACCTCTGCCAAAACTCCCTTTCTCCCGCCCCCCCCCAAAGGGAACCCAGAGCGAGGAAGCTGGGAGTTCTAGTCCCGCCTGAGGCATGGGTGTCCCCGGGTGACTTGGGGCCAGTCCCCCCCTCTCAGACCCGTCCACCTCACAGGGTTGTTGTTCTGGGGGAAACAGAAGGACTATTGTGTGTGCTGGCCACCTTCAGTTATTTGTAACAAATAACCAAATTGGAATAGAAATAGATTTTAAAAAAGGCCACCTTGAGGAAAGGCCTTGGTGGAGATGGGGGGCAGGAGGGCAGGAAAACAAGCCAGGAAAGTTGGAAATCCCCCAGATGAGGCTGCTGCCCTCCCCCCACCTGGTGCCCGGAGGCAGCGGAGGGACCGGCATTGTGGGGGGGGGGCAGCAAAGAGGATCCTGGCACCGTTTCCTGCT